AAATGTGCTGCACACATCTGAGTATTTGGGTTGAAGTGTTCTGGAACAGTGTTGTAAATACAACTTAACCACTGATTTCCAGTCATGTCCGCTTTTGGAAGACCAAACAAAGTAGTTTCGCTTTCACAACGAAACACACGGCGTCACACACGGTGGCCTTGAGTGAACAGAGGCCAGCGGGCTTGAGTGTGTGGTGGCCTAGAGTATGCGGAGGCCGGCTTGAGTGAGAGGAGGCCGGTGGGCTTGAGAATGCAATAGGTTAGCAGCTTGGTGTGAAGAAATCAACTGTGGGAGCACTTATTAGAAAATGGAAGACATACAAGACCACTGATAATCTCCCTTGATCTGGGGCTCCACGCAAGATCTCACCCTGTGGGGTCAAAATGATCACAAGAACTGTGAGCAAAAATCCCAGAACCACACGGGGGGACCTAGTGAATGACCTGCAGAGAGCTGGGACCAAAGTAACAAAGGCTACCATCAGTAACACACTGCGCTGCCAGGGACTCAAATCCTGCAGTGCCAGATGTGTCCCCCTGCTTAAGCCAGTACATGTCCAGGCCTGTCTGAAGTTTGCTAGAGAGCATTTGGATGATCCAGAAGAGGATTGGGAGAATGTCATATGGTCAGATGAAACCAAAATATAACTTTTTGGTAAAAACTCAACTTGTCGTGTTTGGAGGAGAAAGAATGCTGAGTTGCATCCAAAGAACACCATACCTACTGTGAAGCATGGGGGTGGAAATATCATGCTTTGGGGCTGTTTTTCTGCAAAGGGACCAGGACGACTGATCTGTGTAAACGAAAGAATGAATGGGGCCATGTATCGTGAGATTTTGAGTGAAAACCTCCTTCCATCAGCAAGGGCATTGAAGATGAAACGTGGCTGGGTCTTTCAGCATGACAATGATCCCAAACACACCGCCCGGGCAACGAAGGAGTGGCTTCGTAAGAAGCATTTCAAGGTCCTGGAGTGGCCTAGCCCGTCTCCCGATCTCAACCCCATAGAAAATCTTTGGCGGGAGTTGAAAATCCGTGTTGCCCAGTGACAGCCCCAAAACATTACTGCTCTAGAGTAGATCTGCATGGAGGAATGGGCCAAAATACCAGCAACTGTGTGTGAAAACCTTGTGAAGACTTACAGAAAACGTTTGACCTCTGTCATTGCCAACAAAGGGTATATAACAAAGTATTGAGATGAAATTTTGTTATTGACCAAATACTTATTTTCCACCATAATTTGCAAATAAATTCTTTAAAAATCCTACAATGTGATTTTCTGGATTTCTTTTTCTCATTTTGTCTCTCATAGTTGAGGTATACCTATGATGAAAATTACAGGCCTCTCTCATCTTTTTAAGTGGGAGAACTTGCACAATTGGTGGCTGACTAAATACTTTTTTCCCCCACTGTATTTCCTCGGCGACCAGCACGGATCAGCTCCAGGCATGACGAAGCGATATCGTCCTCTTTTGGAAGACCAAACAAAGTAGTTTCGCTTTCACAACAAAACACAGCGCCTTCACGGCATGGCGGCGGCAACAACAACAATACTACAGCGAGAATAAAAGTTACACCTTCTTTCTTTGTGTGAACATTTGGGCAGCGTAATGCAAATCTTCCCACATCGTGATGTAGATATGTGGGGGTGTGTTAGAACGAGGCGCTTTAGGTAGGCGTGTTAGACTCTTAACTTTTATAAAGAATATCTCTTTGGATTTGAGTCTTTGCAACTTTACAGATCTTCTTTATGCACCAAGAGCTTGTAACACTGAGCACTGTTCTTCAGAAAAATCCTCCAGCTCCTGCAGATTCTTCAGTTTTCCAGCATCTTTTGCATATTTGAACCCTTTCCAGCAGTGACTGTATGATTTTGACATCCATCTTTTCACACTGAGGACACTTGAGGGACTCAAACACAACTATTAAAAAAGGTTCAAACATTCACTGATGCTCCAGAAGGAAACACGATGCACTAAGAGAAAACTTTTGAACAGGATGAAGATGTCCAAATTTTTCTTATTTTGTTAAAATATCTTCTTTTTTTTTCATTTAGTGCTGCCCTTCAGAGGCTACAGAAGACACTTGCATGTTTCCCGGAAGACAAATTAAGTACAGTTTACCTTGATCTTCATGCTCTTAATGCATCGTGTTTCTTTCTGGAGCATCAGTGAATGTTTGAACCTTTTTTAATAGTTGTGTTTGAGTCCCTCAAGTGTCCTCAATGTGAAAAGATGGATGTCAAAATTCATGTATTATGTAAAATATGTTACTCAGGACAGTACTAAATAAAAAGTAACATGCATTTTGTATGATCTCTCTTATTTAGTTAAAATTATTCACATTTTCACAGATTCTGCAAGGGGTTCCCAAACTTTCGCATGCCACTGTCAACTAGCAGTCATTAGAATATTAGACTGTCTGCATAATATCTGCCAACACTTTATTTTGATGCTCCCCAACACACATAGAAGTACATAGAAGTACAACTTATTCTACTAACCCTAACCTAACAGTCTACTAGTACTCTAATGAGAGTTAGTTGACATGTAGTTGCAAAGTTACGTATATTTAGTAGAATGTTGAAAATGGACTAAAATGGACTATTGAAATAAAGTTGTAATACAATGCAACAGATAAAAACAGGGAAAAAAAGAAAAAAAAACACCTTTTGCATGACACAATTGCACAGTGTAAGACGGAGTAAAGTGAGGCTGAAAGGTGCAGCTGGATGATGCACTGTATTAAGCCTTGTCCTCTTTAAAAGCATGAAATCTGATAATGTAATAATGCCATTTTGGGAGGCGCTTTATCTTGCGTTTCACACTAGATTTACACAATACAGTCACTAGTGCCAAACTGAGCTGACTTGCCTCCTATCTTTATATCTGATCACGGGTCTTTGTAATCAGTTCTTGATGATGAGATATCATAGCACACTGATATTCACGCTCTTTGTTGCGGTTTCCCTTTCTCTCCCTCCAGTCATCTGAATAAACATGATTAGTTCAGTTACAGACTCATTCTAACAATAATGAGGCACAGTGTTTTCTTATCTGATCAGGAAACAGTGTTTTTGTCTTCTCTGAACGGTTCGAGTCTCACTATGCCAAGCCAATAGACACAGACTATCCGGAATTGGTGTTTTTTTGTGTGTGCGTGTGTCATATCTGGGACCCAACATCTATTTTGTGGATGCTTCACCTCCTACACCTCTAAAACAAGTGTTTGCTATAACCTGTGCATACTGTAAACTACCATTCAAAAGTCTCTTATGCTTATCAAGGCTGCAAAAAATACAGTAAAAACAGTAATATTGTGAAATATGATTACAGTTTAAAATAACTGTTTTTTTATATTTAAAAATGTCATTTATTCCCAGTCTTCAGTGTCACATGATCCTTCAGAAATGTAATGCATCCTTACTGAATAAAAGTATTAGTTTCTTTTAAAACAATCTTACTGACTCAAACTTTTGAATGGTAGTGTATTAATATTTGTTCATAACTGTGGTATCACTGTAAAAATGTAAAACAAAAAATAGCGATGCCGTTTTTGTTTAATCATTGAAAAGAAGTGGCAGATATGTTAGTTATTTGAATGCATTTCACTAGTGTTTATAAATTCATAGAGGAGAGAGTCTTCCTTGCTACAGTAGCACAATAATCTTATTTGCATATTCATTTACCCCAATGCATCTTAACTGGAAACCTTTACTGTAGTAATGCTTTTTCAACACACATCACACTCAATCTGTACTGCAAGCAAGTGTCGTGACTCAACAAAACAAAGGGTGCTTGCAGTGAGAAAACTGAGCGTTTCATGAGCACAGATATGTTAGATCCATTTGGATGTAGTTTATACAGCAGTTTGGATTTCCGCAAGCACAGCTAGACTTGCCTGTCTGATTTAGAAATACCGTTGTAGTGATGTATTTTTTTCATGTTCACCACACTCTTTTTCTTTTGT